AAATTGTTTGAAGGAGGGTGTTTGCACACAGAGGCTATTCCAGCAACTGGCACACTTCATTCTCCACAGCCTGGTTCCGTCTTTCTTACTGAGGACCGACGCCAAACAAACAGACAATCCCTAAAAAATGTCTAAATGAATATCAGATCACTATAGTTTGGTTAAACATCTTACGATGCTATTATTATTATTATTATTATTATTATTATTATTATTCCATGTATTTACTTTTGGAACTTTCTGTTTTTTACAAAAAATCAGGAGAAAGAAAAGATAGATTTTCTGCCGAAATGGAGAAAGCAAAGCGCCGAACAGGAGCCTCACCCCCCCTGTGATCTGCTGTTCCAAGGGCACAGAATGAAAGTGCAGCAGGCACAGACGACGCCGGCTGAGGTGTGAGCTGGTACCACGGAGCCCCGCACAGCTGTGGCACAGCACTAAGGATTCTGCTGCATCGCTGCAGCACACTGACACCACCAGGAAAGAGTGTGACAGGAGATTCAGACATTCCCTCAGAAAAGGGCACTAGTGAAGCGCAGGAACGAGAATCATCTGTTTCCTTCCAGCAGAGTTTATAACCTCCCTCCCTTAGCTTTGTTCCTTATTACTTCTGCGGCACTAGGTTCCCTTGTATTGGCACACACCATAAATAATATAAGATTATGCTACAGCTAAGAAGATGAAAACATGCAGTATGTAAGCCGGGCCCTGGTGGATTGATACATAGCAAAAGCATACAGGAAAAGACAAGAGGCCCAGATGCCAGAGAGTGCGACACACTGCAGAACTGTGTTGTGTATCCCAGTAAACACATTCATTTGCTTGTCTGCCATTTCCTCTTCTCAGATCTTACAGAGTGACAACACGTGTCAGTGTCAGCCTCAGGTCCTGCCGGCAACACCTGAAAAAGCGCGCCAGCGAGGCAGTGAAAACAAACAGCACAGCCCGCGATTGTAGTGATAAAGCAGTGGTGTCAGCACAGCCTCTCGGGAGCGCTAATCTGGAGCTGTCATGTGATCAGGTCTGCCTGTCTCTCCTGTGTTGGGATGTCATATTCCCCCTCGGGTTTGGGGAAGAGAAACAAACACTACTTTTGATTATGAGGCTTGGCTCCTTACTTCTGTTACCTTTGGAAAACAAGCACAATATAAATAACAACAAGTACCCTGGGCCAGACCTCGACTATATGTGCATAAACACACACACACACATCCCTCCAAAATCACCACCTAGTATTAAACACACAGGATGAATTCCTGCTCGCCAATAAAAAAAAAATTCTCACACGCTTCATGTTGTTTCCCTTAGAAAACCAAGCTTTATGTAACACAGACAGCTGTTATGCGATCTAAAGTTACACTTAATTTTTTATAGCTGGTTATTGCATGTTTCAGATGCAACAATGATGTGTGCGGGCTTGGGTTACCATTTTGAATTTCAAGTATTGTGTAACCGTAAGACCCATTCACCAATAAATCCTTTCTGGAGACGGTTCAACAGCAGCAATATGGTTCTGCTGTTTAAGTTCTGCTTTGTCCTCCAGTTATTGCTTTGGAACACAATACAATGTTACATTTTCATAGCTTAACCCTGACTACATTCACTTTATCTCAGGGAGACAAGGTTAAGATTGATAGCTCTAATTAAAAGCAGGGCTCCTCTTTTTTTTCCAGTAACGTCAGGTTTATTTTACAGGAACTTTAACATTACCTTTTGTTTGGGTAATTATAGGGTGAACTGATTAGAGAGCCTGTAGCCATAGAGGTGACAGACAGACTGCAAAGTAACCCAAGTAACCTTTTTCAATATTACATCTTTCTCTATTGTGCCACACCAGTAAACTAATTTCGCCCCCAGGGCAATCTTATATTTACTTTTTTGTATGGGAACAATAAAATACTTTTAAATCCTGCAGCGATGAATACCAAACAAAAGGTTAAGGGATCAATTTACCCATCCAGCAGCTTTCGACTTGGCACAAAAAAAGTGTCAGAGCTCCAGAACAATAGCAGTCCAGCCAACAGAGCTACAGGCCAGACAAGGAGCAGATGACATGGCTCTTCAGCCATTTAACATACTTTCCTATGCCAGCTACAAGGCATTACCAAGCATGACATTATAAAACAAAATATGTGTCAACCATATTAAAGAATACACTAATCTGCTGTTTATTAAGTGTGGGGTAACTTGACCACAGTAATTAAATGGAGATTTAAGCATGATAAAGTCAGTAAAAGTCAGTGTCACATGTGGCATTCAATGCCTTCCAGTACCATATGGAGCATTAAATGTGTGAAAGAGCATAATACCAGATCGCATACCGCGAAGCTTGCCAATCAAAAGCAACTGTTCATGACAGCAAGCCGTACTTAACAAGGATTTTGTGTTCTGATATTTTGAGAGACAAACTTTTCACGTCTTTGCATAACAAAATGTTAGGGTAAGCTTTTCCAGATCTGCAGACGCTGGCTCTTGTCATTCACCCGAGTATGAAAATGAGATAGCGCGCACTTAAAAGTCAGGAGCATTTCCTTTAAACTGCCGCCTTCACTCGGCTTTGTTTCCTCTGATCCTCACGAACACTTACATCAGCCGACGATCATTTTTAAACTCCGGGATCACATTTGTGTTAAGAACACTTAGACACGGCAGCTTGATTGAGTTAAAAAGCCTATCAGTGCAAGCTCTGTTTTCACTAGCAACTCACAAGAAAGCTGGCGTTTAACTCTTTGTGTCGCGGTTTCAACCTCGTCTCTTATCAGAAGCCAGTTTCTGTAGCTTGATGTCACGTCTCCAGCATTTCAAAGGCTTTGTACAACTTCGGGACTGTATGGGAACTCTGGCATTCATTGTGTTAAACTGTAAATTGTGTTGTGAGGCAGAATTGTGGACATTATAACCTAGTGCTGCGTTTGCTTTATTTGGCTGTTGTGTGAGGGTCTCCTGAAGTTACATTAGCTTGCAGGCCTAGCTGCTATTTTATGTTAATGACCTACACAATGAGAATGTTGGCTCTTAAGCCTCCCACATCTTCTTATCGTTAAAAGCATATCTGTGCACAATTATATTTATTTATAGACTACTTTTAATCACTTACGATCCAATTGTAACCCATTTTATTGCAGATATCTGACAGAATCTTTTGTCAGCTAATGATTCTTTCATAGTTTAGCTGGATCACACCTATTAACACAGCTGATAAGATAGTGTGCCTGATGGCCTTTATAAGCAGGTTAAACATTAGAGCAATTCGTAAGGAGTCTAAATAGTGTCAATACTTCTGATTGCCAAGACTTTCTCCACACAAACACACCTGACCTCTGCTTTAGATCCCAACAAGCTACTCCCAGACTGCACGATCTTCATTTTAAAACCACAGAAGCCACCTAAAATGTGATGTGCAGCCCACACCATTGTCTGTCTTTCTGTAAGAATGGTTTCTTGCAGCCTGAGTATGATGAAGTAGGTCACAATTATTTCTTAGTCACAAAAAAGTCTTTGGAAAAGAAAGCAACAGTACAATTAAGATAGTAAGTACACGATTAATTTTCTATAGATGCTGCATTCTGCTGCACACAACCCAATGCTTGGGAAAAGTGTATAGCTTGTATAAGTTGGCTTCCATGAAAAAGAGCTCTGCTGTTATGGGCTCTAAAGGAATATTCTACCAAGCTAAAGGGGGAAAAGGCCTGCATTGTTCCAATCCCTGTAGCTCTGTCTGTGTCTCTAATAAGCACCTGTGGTGTTGTATCTGTGGCTGCAGGAGAAGGGGGCGATACCAGAATGAACATCGATTGACAGAATGGGTCCAGGTGATCTCTCTGCCGAACTCGAACCCATGCACTTCCTATCACCAGAGTCTGGGGAAGTGCCTACACCTCACTACAGCTCTGGCCTTTGTGTTGGAAACTGCACAATTTACACTGTAGGCCTTTATCATCAAAAACAAAACAAAAAATCACTAGGATAATGTTACATCTTGTTAGAGTTTCACAGCAAACGCTGCTATCAGCACCTGATGGAATGGAACCAAGAATAATTCCAATCTCCCTTATCAATGGCAGAAATCAAATTTACATATTCAAGCCCTTCAAACTGATAAGGCAGCCCTTGATGAATGTGTTGTGATGAAAAGATACCTGTAGCCTGTTTGATCAATGTCTTGAAAAGAGAGTGCCTTTCAGCAAGCACACTCAAACATTCCTCATCCCCCCTGTGATTAATGTTAGTAAATGGCTGGGGTCAGTGTCTGTTGCTCATTCAGTATTCACCTTAAAAGAGGTCACCCCTTTGTAAATTAGTCACCTAAAGAGATCAACCTGGTGCAAGACCTGTCTTGGGTACTTTGCTGTAGGATGACAAACTTTTGCGTCAACCACAGCTCCACCAGGAGAAAAACCGAAAAACTAGACAAAGTGGGACAAAAAGGAAATCATTTATATGTGGAACCTGGGTGGCTGGGCAGTTAGAGAGGTTTAATTAACCTGATTTCTCGGATTTGTAACTGCAGAATCATGGGTGTAAAAGCATCCTGGGTGGGGAAAAATACATAAAAAAATGAACTAATAATGGTCACCCGGATAGGTATGAATTAGTCAATGAAAGAAGAAGAAGAAAAATGTTTTGTTTCCTTTCTTCTCTTTTCAGCATGGAATAAACCTTTACTCGTTCCTTTCCAGCCTGCGCATGCTGACGCAGCTCCCTGCTTGAACTACTTCAGCCTACTTCTGCTGTGACCCACTATGCCTTTCCTCTAAATCTTTTTCTACATCTCTTCGGCATTCCTTCTCTTCCTCCCTGGGATACTTGCCCTCTTCTCTCACTAAACCAGCATTCCATCTCTTCGAAACGATCTGCTCCAAGACCAGGCTTCCCAACCACCTCCACGCCCAGAAAAGGCTCCACAGCCGAAACGCTGCGTTTCCTTTCTTCTCTTTTCAGCCTGGAATAAACCTTTACTTGTTCTGTTGCAGCCTACGCATGCTGACGCAGCTCCCTACCTGAATTAGTCAATGCCGGCTTGGCGACACCCAATACCTGCAGAGGGAAAGGACAGCTGACTGCAGAGAGCTGTCTTCTCACTCTCTCCACCGCTGGGTGGTCTCTCCAAAGCCAGGAGGGTGGGAAGCGCTGGCCAGTCATGGCTCCATGGGGAAGATGGCACTGCTGTGGTCCACACTGCACCTGTGGTGAAGCAGGAGATTAAAGTCTTTCCTCTTTGCTCTGTATACACACCCCTCTGGGCCCAGCCCTGGAGAAGAAACTGGAAATGTAAAAACAAGGCCCAGGTTCATTTAAAAACAAAAAAAAACAGAAAACAACCACAAAGTCCTGGCAGTATGGTGACACAATTTCTAGTGCCCTTCACCCCTGTCACAGACCCAGGTTTTTTCACCCAGACAAAATCCTGCCCCAGCCCCAGAAAATCTTGGGACAAACCTAGAGAGCACATTGAGTGCACATGGACAAACTCCTTGAATACTCGAGCCTTGTATTGATGCACGTGTATGTGCACATCATTTTTGTCCCTTTCAGAGCATATCTATAATAGTATACAGTACATAACATCATTCACTTAAGTTCTGACAGGCTCTCGTATGCTTTAAAGTTAATGCTGACTCTGAAAGCACAATGTACTGTTTATCGATTTACATGTGCTGAGCACTTATTTAAAAGGATTTAAACGGAACACGGTCTTTGCTTTTTGTGAGCAGCTCTTTCAAATGTGGATATCAAGTAATGATAAATCTCTGCTTTTATGGTCCTATACAGTACTACATGCAGTACATCTTATATCGTTCCTGCCTGTGTGACTGTCTGACTGTGTCAGTGAACAAACAGCCCTGTTTTATATATGTATGGAGGACTGCCATCACATAAGAACCCTTTCAAAAACACACTGGAAAATTCTCCTTTTATTTATATTCTTCTGCTTTGTAAACAGCTCATTTTTGTTATATTTTATTAATGGCATTGTTTAATTAGTTTAATTAAAGAAGCCCCATCATTCTGTATAATTTCCCTTGTTTAATCAAAAATCCCAGTTGCCATTTAGAAACAGGAAATCTCTTGCCTCTGGCTGCCAAGGTTTATAGGAATTACTGTATGGAATTTATCTTAAAGGAGGATCAACACTCAATTACTACGCTGTTTTTTTAAAAACTGACAACCGTATACTCCTTCCAAGGACTACCAGGGGAGATTTAATGTCTACAAAGGAGATGGGAAAGTGGTGTTGTTAGCAATACTGAGCCAGATCCAGCATTTTCCACTTTTCCCCACAGTGTGTGGAGGCCTGCTGTTTAAGTACCGCCGATACAAAGCCTTTTTTAGCTCAGCGTCTCATATGGTGTATTTCAAGTGCTAGCAGGCTGTGAGGCTCTCAGGACAGCTACGAAAGTGGACGAAACCCAGGTAGCAGGCCGGTTAGATTAAGTTTGCTTTGTTGGAACCACTGTGTTCATATATATTTTACCCCAGTATTATTGGGGGGGTATCTGTTCAGGCAGGTTCACATTCAATGGACTCACATGGCCTTTGGAGATGTGGTATAGAGCGTATTTGTCCATTTAAAAACGCACAGTGATACAAGACTTCCAACTGATTTTCAGAAGGATCACCTTCTCGTTATCAGGAATGTCCTTAAACCCCACCTAACACCTAAACCCCATGCCATGCCAAGCACAATTCAATACAGTAACACACTACTAGTGCAACATACATGAATCACAGCCTCAGTGTGTTGTGTTGAAATTCAACAGTTAAAAAAAAACAAATTAACATTTAGTACGTGTTTCCACCCAACTCCATTGCCGCACATGTAACTAAATAAAACAGTCGCCTCACAAACACTTCAATTATTTTTTAATTTTAAAATTATAACTGTAATAATGAAAAAATTGCTGGGCCTTTCAATAGTGCAGGAGTTAAAGAAAATGTAAACAGAAAATACAAATGTAAACAGAATAATATATGATTCTGAATAAATAAATAATAGCAGAAACAAATAACTTAATAAATTGTTTAACATTGCAAAGAAAAGCTTCCCCACAGTGTCTGGGCTGAAGGTGCAATCATATAACAGGGCTGAGCTTTTGCAACTATTTCAGGAAGAGGAAGAATTCAGTCTCCAGGCCCCACACTAAGAGTGGGCTTTGCTTGCATTACAGTCATTACAAACTGCTAAATTTATTTTCAGCCCAGTTGGCAATGAACATCACTCAGAGATGAAAACTGGTTTAAAGACAATTACAGAACAAACGGCCTTAAAAAGACCCCTGAAATAACACAGTTTCTCAGATTGTATCGATGAGAATAGCATTACTGCAGATTCTAAGTAGAAAATGTGCTTTTTTGTAATGCAACACACAGACAGGTAACTTGATCGTCATAAAGCCCCGGCTGTCAGAAGAGTTTTCATCGCAACGCTGCCTGCGAGACTGGAAACAAATTCAGCACCAGAACGCAGAAGGCATCTAGTGTTTCATGGTAAGTAGTAGGACCTGGTCTGATAATGTTATTTTACTAAATGGCCAACTTAAAGGTCAGTTACAACTGACTTCCTGGGCAATAAGGCCTGCGTTGGAAAGAGATTTGCTATTTATTGACTGCAGATGAAGTGGGTGAATACACAGGCGCTGAACATCCATTCTCTCCAGACCTCGTCTTCTAAAAGAGAACAGAAAAATGCTCAGCAGCAGGAAAGCAGGGAGTTTTGGACACTGCTGTAGTGCTCTCGCTCTGCATGTCATTCAATCCCACTGCATTATAATGCAAAACAGAAAAGCTGTTACAAACAACCCACAATACTAGACCACAGTATTATTGGATTAGTGTTGTCCCACTCCATTTTAACTCTCAGTCTTGACCAAAAACTCTAAAGCTCCATTGCAATCTCAACCTCTGACAGGGTTTAAACCAGAAACCCATTTCTGCCACTGACAAGACAATGATGTGGTCTTTTGTTTTACTTATCTTTTTCCCCCCTATAAAACATACTTTAACACCATGAAAAATCATGTCTGCTGACACAGCAGGTGTGAATAAACCGAGCCCAGTGTTAACCTTGAGTATAAAATTAAAAGCAAAACTGCACAGAGCTTTTTAGGATTGTCCCCCTGACCAATGATTGTAAAGCATCTCAATCCATTTTCTGACATTTTGACAAGCTGTAAATGTCCCTCTTTCTTAATTATATCAGAACAGCTTCATGTATTTATTTTCCAGGATAACAATCCAAGAAAAGACTGCGTTCATGCAAAACAAATGGGCAGGATCAATATTGGCAGACAGTGTTGCTTGTAATTCTGCAGAACCAAGCCAGAAAATGTCTCGTTGCTGTGATCTATCAGTGCTCTATTAAAATTTATAAACACACAGCGTCAACAACAATGTTTGCATACTGCGGCAGTTCTTTTATATACTAATCAGAGATGTCTAAGTCTGGAATGGAAAGACCTTTTGTAGGCACTATTTGTAGAACGACTTTTAGAAATACACCTTATGGCTGTTCTCTGTGGTGCACTTTACCTTCAATGGAATATCTTCACAGCTTTGAAATAAATGACTCAGGAGAACTGCTTGGGCCACATTACTATTCAAATGATTCAACATTAATAATAATATCTTTAATACTAACATTAGTAACTGCAATAATTAATGTATGAATAATCACTATTATGAAAAGCATTATCAATAATTGTATGAATAATGTACATGCATAATGAATGAAGTTTGCCTGGAGCTATTATCTGGTGTCTTTCCTCTTATCCAGAACAGAGACTCTACATCGTAGTGGTAGCAGAAATGATCAAATAACAGCACACAACCACTGGCCTTACATTGTATTTTTTATCCTAAAGTGCAGTAGACAAGTCTTTAAAGCAAAGCTTTAACACATTTAATTTGAATTCACAGATGTGTCTTTGTCTTGTTTGGCTTCATCAGAATCCTGGGGTAGATACACAGGGACAACAGAGATTTGCATTCTCACATTTTCATTCTTTATCAGAGCTAATAAGAACTGCCTGCACCTCTGTTCCTCCATCAACTTTTCTTCTAGAGCAACACACACAGCATATCTGCGCTCAGCAATTATATGGACCTTTACAAATAATACTTATTTAAACACTTATTTCAATTCTTATGGTATTACAATTATACACTCTAAAAATATATTTTCACTGCATCAACATCTGTAAAATGCCATTTTTATATTGTCGTTTCTACAAATTAAAATAATGATAAATTCACCTCCCGGACAATCGTTTTAAAATCTTCATATGTATCCAAATCTTTTTAACATAATCACTGCAGTGCTTTCAGGAACAAATATGCAGTGTTTAACACAGCAAGAAAAACCTCTGAACTCAGCAGTAAATATACATATACAGTATGTAGTCATATCCTTCAGCTGTTGTTTTAGTCTTTTGTACAAAAAAAAGTGGGTATTTAAGGAAAAACTAACCTGCTTTGTGCCATGATCTATCTGTGAGCGAGACGAGAAAGCATATTGTGTTGAGCAGCAAACTACAGAGTTTTAATCAGTCCTCCAGAGTCGCTACAGTCCTGAAGCCATAAGTCTCAAAGGAGGCCACTCTTGCTAAATATTCACTTTCACTCATTTAAAAGCTACGAGCCTGTGTTGAGCTGGCAGTGTTAATACCACAGTGTTTGATGTGCTAGGAATATATTCAATTGAAAATGTTATTAAGTCTCCTACAGAAGTGTAGCACGTGGACTTGGAAGACTTCACGAATATCATATATCCAGGCCACACAACTGACAGGAGGAAGAAATCTAACAGACAGAAATATTTAGTGGGATGTTGCACAACCCTCCTGTCTGTATTCTTTTTCTTGTTATTAAAATAAATCAGAACACTTTCTAACCCAATGGTAAATTCCAAGGAACATTATTAAGATTCAACATTCCTGTTTCCACATTTCCACCAGGTTACAGCAAAGGGACAGTGGAAGAGGCCTAGCATTCCAGATTCTTAGGAAATACTTTGACCTTTGAGGAATAATAATAATAATAATAATAATAATAAT